TATGCACGAACACAGCAGCTTCTCAAAAGGATTCTTCCCGTGGTTGCTTCTTCCACTCCTCATTTCGCTCCGGTCCGTGGACTCCCCCTTCAAGCAGCATCTCCTTCAAATTTTCAACGTCTTGCAGATTATGCTTCGCCGTCCAATATGTCAACGCCGATTGTCACTACTTTTGTTGTTGTTTCTACTTTGCCGGCCGCTACGGCTACTCCGTCTCTTGTCAGTTGTATTGTGTCCGCTCATACGCCCTCAAGAGACCATCTGCATGTCCATACAGGATCATTGGAACAATCAAGTTCTTCTAATTTTAACATTACCATGTACGACTCTGTTGAATCTATTGGTATGAAAAAAACACTTGCACACCTGTCCTATCTTGACAGTTCAGCAGCGGAATTGAATACGAGTATGAACACTTGGAGATGTGTGGATGCTGCGATTCATCTCGATTACAATCGGCAAAGACAGGGTCGATTTAAAACTTCGAGGAGTATCGTCGCAAAGTGTTGCAACGAGTTTCTGTTCGTGAGGTGTTGCAAGACTATCGTTCGAATGAAGGTAGTTGATTGGTCTTATAAGAGAGATAGGAAGACAAAGATGTTGATTGGGCGGTTGTCCGGGCGTTGCCTTAATGACAAATTCTTAGATGGTTATCTTCGGTTTCAATTACGTAATTGCTCCTACAAGAGAGATGGGAAGGGAAAGACAAATAAATAAGCGGGGAAGGAAAGAGAGAGATAGAGATAGATAGATAAAGAGAGAGAGAGAAAGAGAGAGAGAGAGATAGATAGATAGATAGATAGATAGATAGATAGATAGATAGATAGATAGATAGATAGATAGATAGAGAGAGAGAGAGAGAGAGAGAGAGAGAGAGAGAGAGAGAGAGAGAGAGAGAGAGAGAGAATTTTGACGTAATATTATTCCGCTTTTTTAAGTCAATATTGATTCCACTGCGCAAAATTGTGCCTTGATCATATTGCGGCCACTTGATTACTTAAATCAAACGAAAAATCTTCATATCAAACTTTTTTTCTTTTCTTGCTAGTGTTCATTTTTTTTTTTCTTTGCTCTTTTGTTGCTCCTCTCTCTCTCTCTCTCTCTCTCTCTCTCTCTCTCTCTCTCTCTCTCTATCTATTTATCTATCTATCTATCTATCTATCTATCTATCTATCCATCTTTATCTTTTTTTTTCTTTTTTTCTTTGTCTACCTCTATCTCTCCTCGACCTTTCTCTTACATTTTTTTTTTTCTATTCGTTATTTTTTTGATTCGTGAATTAAAGTTGGACTTTGTTGTCAGTTACTCTTATTTCTGCGGGCGTGGCCCACACCGCCCGCACCGCGGGCGCTTAGCTAATCTTTAATTAAAGAATATTTAAATTTGCACAAATAACAATGAATAAAGTTTAAGCAAGTTTAAACATTTAAACATAATTTCAATAATTTCACGAAATTTTCATCGGAAGAATTTAACATCAGCACGAGGTCACTCATTAAGTAGAAGATGAATGGTAGCAAGAAGATACACAATTTGCTAGAAGATTCAACCGTTCAAATGCAAAAAGATGCAGTTTGCAAAAAGTGAAAGTTCCGTGAAGTTGCAGTTTGGATATGGCCGTGCTCAGGCCCGATCTGCCTTGATTGGGGCGGTGCCTGACTGACACTTACTTCGCATAGGTTAGATAGGCCGTTTAGATTAGGTTAGGAATAACCCTAATTAGCGCTAATTAGGTTGCTCGTAATTAGCAATTTCCTAATTGCGCGATATGGAGAAAAGTCGCAAAACCTAAAATTTAACAACCTAATTACTATGAAAGTACGAGAGAAAAGAAAAATTTTTGCAACTTGCGATTTAATAATAACAGAGTGCAGATATAGATGATCAATCAATCAATTAACGGTGAGTCATCCAATGTTGGTCTGCTCCGATACCAAACTGTTGCATACTCGTGAAACACAGTCATAAGTATGGCGCAGATTCCCAGAACCGACCAGATAATACAAAGTTAACACAAATGCAAGCGGAAGACATGAGATACCTTTGGACTGACTTGGACCTGACTCGGACTGCAATCGAACACTCTCAAACATTCATCAGGGGTGTGAATGCCCTGGCCTCCGACATAGACGAAAGGCCAGGGACTAAGATCATCCACGGAAAAGGGAGAGAGGGAGAGACGAAAGGAGGAGAAGAGGGAAGATGACGTCAACTCAATGTCTCCAAAGATAGTATCTTGAAATGTCAGAAGTGACGAAAATCCGAAATGTTGCGAATGCCAAGTCTCACAATATCTCAGATATCGATCTCACAATGTCAAGTACATC